TGAGTGGGGCCTGTCATTATCTTACTCTGTCATTAGAGGCTACATTGGCCTGTGTGTGTCAGTCTATTTGGACAGCAACTCTTTTGCTAGCAGTGTTCCCTACATTTATTAAAATCCCTGAAGGTAGTGTTGTGTTCCATTTCTGGTATAAAAGCCCTGAACCTTTTGCGCAGAAACAGAAATAGTGTGATATAATTGTGACTTAATATTTCCAGAGAATGGTCAATTATAGCTATTTAAATAAACACTGACTGGATTTTCTTAGGAGCAAGAAAGTACGGAAACTGTAAACCTAATTCTAGTTTCATTTATGAAAAAAAAAATGATTTGTCTTTTGCAGAAGCTTTTTTCTTTGTACTGTGCATGTTTTTATTTTCCCAAAGTGCCGTTTATTTCTAATGTGAACATAGACATCTTTTGAATCCCACCGTTATTTTGCAATAATATGTCACATACAAGGGAGTAACATCTCATGAAAACAAGCTTTTTTAATCATTAAAGAAACTCTTGGTAACTTGATACTATTTTCCGTGGGCCCAGATTTCATACTGGCAGAAATGAAGACATCTCCAGCAGACCTACCTCTGAGCATGAGATTCAAGCTTTCTAAAATATTTTTTCTATTAAAATTAGGGTCAGTGACCTTTTTCCCATGGTATACTCACGTGTGATCCAGAACTGGGTTGGGTTGGGTTTGGTTTGGTTTTTTAATCTTTCTAAATTCTTCCCCATTGCCATACTTTTAATTGTAGAATTCTGACTATCAGGTTTACACAGTGCAATCTATCATTTTTACAGTGTATTTTTGACCTACATTTTTACTTTGGTGAACTGGTGTAGCTTTGCTCATTTTATTAGACTAAATCAGTTTGCAACAGCTACGGATTTAACACCTGATTTCTTTGTATCTCATTAAGGTTCATTTTATTTTTTTGTTTTATCTGTCATGATAATAATGATGCCTTAGATTAAAAAAAGTGTAGATTCGTACCGCAGATACTTTCCATGATAAACTAAACAAAACATTTTTATATTAACGTGGTGTACATATCTTATCCACTTTGCTTTACAAATAACGACTGACTAAACGTTACTGGTCTTCTTGAAGACATATTTTTATTTGTTTTCTGTTTACCCTCATAAAATAAAATAAATCTTGACATTTCTGTGAATGTGAAGATTCCTGCAAGGATGGGAATTGCTGATTATCTTTGTAAGATTTTTTTTTTTATCATTTAAAACTGAACTGTGCTGTGTTTGATCACTGCTCAGTTCCAAAATAGCTGAGGAAAAAATACTACTTTTCAGCGTTGCTAATTGATCTTTTAGCTTATTTTTAATGAGCAAAACTGGAGCATTTCGCAGGTGGACAGAATAAAAATCAAAGTAAATATTGCACAACAAATCATTTATAATTGTGTACAAGTTCTATAGAATGATTAAATAATATTCTGGTTATTAAATGTAGACACTTCACACTATGTACAAATTATTTGAAGAAAAAATCCATTTTTGCACAATTAAGATGGTAGATTAAATACATAGATTAACAAATTTTATTGGCTTGAGTCATGTAGCCTTTAAAATACGTTTTAGTGTAGAAACAATAGCATTATCCATCACTGAATCCTCAACATAGTGCAATTTTCAACCAGCCATTACCAGGTTAATGTTTCTTACAACTTGGTTCTTTCATTGACTTTTAAGGAATTAGTGTATTACTGTTGCTGTGGTTGTAGTTTATTAACATCAAAAATATGTAATTGAACTTGATGGGCTGCAGTAAATATTATTATTATTTTTAAGCTCTCCTATGTTTTAAATCTGTATTTGTTTTTCCAGGATGATGATGTTTAATGCTGGGGTTTTGTGTGTTGTACTTGCTAGAGCTAAAAATAAATTAGTTCAGTTTAAATATGAACTGGCTAGATTAAAACCTGCCCAATGGGCATTAAATTTAAAAAAAAAAAATATTTAATGGCAGTCTGGACTGGCAGAGGAAGGTGTAGAGCAGGAGATCGCAGCCGCTCTCCGCCGGAGTGGTGGCAACATGGTTGGGCCCTTGCTGGTGCTCACCTTTCTTTAAGAAACCCTCGCTCCTAACTGCCTGCATTTTCTTCGCATCTCAGCCTGAACACAAACCTGGCCTTGGGATAAGCTGTCTGTAGCCAATTTTCTTTTTTTTTTCCTTTTTTTTCTTTTTTTTTTTTTAGTTTGGAATCGGCCAAAAAGAATGTGAGTCTGTCTTTCACAAATAGCTTGCCAGTGGCAAAAGTTCAGTGCTTCGAGCTTCGTGAGTTATTAGTCCTAGAAAGAGAGTTGCCCCCTGTTCAGGGGAAGAAAATGTTTTAGAAGATCAAAACTGTGCACCATTACAATTTGTCTTTCTT